GTTCGTAGCTATGCAGGAAAAAAAAATTGACTCAATTTTATGCATTAGATCACAAGTTATAATCGGCAAAAATTACGTCAATTAGTATAACGAAAATCACGTGGTCCAATACTTTTGACCGGGGAGTGTAGGTTTGAATTTATCTTTTAAAAAATTTTCCGTTTATTATTTACGACTGGTCACTGACAAGTTATCTTTTGTACAGAGGGGAAGTAGAAACCAATCAAACAAAACTCAAAGGATTGAAACTCGTCAATATAAGAAACGCGTTAACATCGGGTGTTCCCAAAACGGGATATACTCTATCAATGTAAATGCTACTATTTTAGAAGTAGGGTTCTTAGAGGTTGTTGGCAACACCCTTTATACTGATATCAAAAAATTAAGCGAAGATACCGAAAAGTGTTTAAGTGTATGCAAATTTCTATTCATTACCAACGTTAATATTATATATCACGTGGAGCAACAGAACAAGAAGTATCTTCTATAGAGTCATATAGAATTGTTGTCTATCATAAGTAACAGAGATCTGGCCCATAAATTTTATTAAAGTTTATTAAGCCTTATATTTTCTTTATCAATCTTAGAGCGAAAGTTTACATTTTATGTAATGCATCAAACAAATGGAGGTTTACATGTTGTTGATGTTTTAACAGAATTTAGTATTCCAAGTACTAAGGATCAATTGTATGTCTTAAAAGAAATTATCGAAAATGTTTATTTGTTTAAGGTATAAATTTTGACAGCTTTTGATGTACAGTGAAACTTCCATAAGTGCACCCTCTATAAATACACACTCCATGTAAATTCTCTTTAAATGCACAGTAGGCTTTGGTTCCAACTCATAAGAGCTCTTAATATTTTATTCTCTATAAATGCACACCCTCTCTAATTACATATTCTGCTATTTTTTATTATGGTCCCAAGGGGAGTACACTTATGGGGGTATCACTGTATTATTTTTATGTATTCCATACTTATTTTACTTTTTTTGGCATGATAGAGTTGAATAATGGATTATTACCTTGCAGTACAGAAGATCATTCCCTTAACTAAAACTCACGTTGGTATAAGTGAATCTCCTGTTAATACATCACCCTTTAAAGCTTCAAGGATTTATGACGCTTTGAAAATTCTGAATAATATTTCTGTAGTAAATCAGATTATGAAAAATACTGTATAGAATCTTTCATGTGCTTAGGAACTCCATTTAATATAGATCTGAGTGTATCATATTTTTCACATATAATTAATAAAGCATCCAAATAAGTTTGTTTTGCTTATATCAGGCTTATGATATTTTAACATGTTGTCAGTGTAGATCAGAAAAAAAGGTTTATATGTATTGAGATAATAAATTTTCTTGGCAATAAATCTGCATTAATAAAACAATATTATCACAAATTGGTAATCCCAAAATTTTATTAAATTCTAACATTCTGAAGAAAAATCACATTACTTTGATCGTTCCCTAAGAATGGTTTTCACACCTAAAAATTTATATCATCTGATCATGAACTATACAAGTAAAACTATTGCATCTGCCTCTTTCAACGATGCAGATTTTCAGAAAAAGTAGAAAATCTTTTTTTGTATTAGTGAAAAGGCAACTCAATTTATTTTCACATGATATGTCATATTCCACCAAAACTGGAACTTTATGCTATGTGAAAAAAATCAGCATTTACAAGTACTGTTTAATAGAAAAAGTAACAATTCTATTGCATATGACTTTACTGAGTTCTGTATATTCGCTTATCCATACTTTATTGACATTGAGAATGGTCGTAATGTATACATTCACAAAATATTATATAGTCCTGACTCTGAAGATAGTGAGCATAGTTCTAGTAAAATGGTAGTAACTATTTCAACCCCCAAAAATTCATAGAATAGAGATTCAATTACATGTATTTTTATTAAGTTATATTATTAATAAAGCGAGTGCATCAGATAATAAAATTTTTTCTTAGCAAATTTTAGTTACGTGTTTTTATTTTTGAATATTAATATATTAATACTATATTATATAAGCATGCAATCTGAAATAGATGGTCCTAGTGAGACTGATTCGTTGAAACAATGTATTAGTAAGCTTAAAGTCAAAATTATAAAATTGAAAGATAAGCAGTCCCAAAGGACCAATAAAAAATTTATTATCTATACTGTAAAAATGTAATCCTGTATTAATGCTGACCGGCAAAAGTGATTAGCATTAGAACTTATAACATACATATGATTTAATCGAAGTTGTATTACTAGCAGATCTCTTATGATATTGATGCATAAATTATTTTTAATGCTATATCTAATATCAGGGTGAATTTCTTTCGTGTAAACTTTTTACGTAAAAATATATCTAATAAAATGTTCCATTCTGACTATAAATACATTATCGATAGACTACTAAAAATCTTATCAAGAGAGCTTGCCAGAGACTCTTACACCATTCTAAAGATTCTATCCTATTAGAATCTATTTTTGAGAAGTTTGAACAAATTGAATATTATTTGAAATACACATTAGAGGTTTATAATAATTCATTAAATAGAAAATAACATAATAAATTTATAGCTCAAGAAAAAATATCATGACTTCGAAGCTGACTAGAATGTAATATATTCCAATATTACCACATATATTTGTTATAAATAGTGGTATCTAAACTGATAAATTTGCTTATGATCATGAGGAAGAAAACAATCAGCAAGTTATAAATGAACTTAAAGTATTAATCCAATATCTACTCAATTATAATAGATAAACTTTCAGGAAATTTATGCAAGATATAGAAAGGGAATATAGAGAGCAGATTAGTGCAAATAAGAAATTGCGATATGAAAATAAGGATCTGAAGATGCAATTGCAGGAGGTAGAAAAAAGCTAGTATTTATGAAATCAGATTCTTTTCATTAGTTGAGGGTACTTTTTTCCTTATATTTCTGTAAAGTAAGATCCTGGTTAAGATCACGCATTTTTTAAGGATTTATATAAATCAAAAGTTCATCTATTCTCTTTTATAATCACGAAAAAAAAATGTCATTTTGCAGATCTCATTCAAGGCAAAGAAGAACATGTGAAGAACATAAAGCTGAGCTGAAGGAGGAGAGCTATCACCTTCATAGTAGATTACAGATAGAAGTTGATACTAATCACCAGAATAAGAGACAAATTAATCAACTAAAAAAGAATTATACTTAATATGAAAAAAAATCTAAAATCTTAATAGAGAAATAGAGTGTCTCAAAAATGCTTCAGAAAAAGAGATAGTAAAGTTGAAATCTGAAATATTCAGCCTAAAAAGTCGGCTATATCAAGCTAGAAAGGATGTGCAAGATAAAAAAGTATATTCCTATCTTAGAAAGTAGTTGGTAGAATTTGAGAAGCAGGTTGAAAATTTGCGATATAGAATTAAAATTATCTCATCACAGAAAAATTTACCAGAGCGAGAGAATTTTTTGAACTTATATAATTCTAATGATAATATAGTCACAGTCACTAGCTAGCAAATTCTATAGATAGCTATATAGATAATAGAACAGCGACTAGAGATATTCTGATAGATTAAATAAAAAGGATAATAAGACAAATTCGCAGAAAGAGAATAATTTGCATCAGGATTTAGTCTATGAATAACGAAAGTATTATGATGTAAAGGCTGAGCAAAATCTTGCTATTACGTGAAAAAATTTTACTGAAGGAGCAATAAATAGGATTGTTAGTGATCTTTAGCAATTGCGGGTTAATGCTCAAAATCAAATAAATAAAATAATAAGTAATATAGCAAGAAAGCAAATCCATATAGGTATGCTAGTATAAGAAAAATTTGCCTTACAATTACTGTATCAGCAAAATGCTTATCACTTACAGTAAAGTAAAGAGAATATAGATTTATTAGAGTATAATCACGATAAGCTCTATGAATGATATAAGAAATGGAAAAATAAGATATGTGATGCTCAGCTGAATATTTTAAATTTGCAAAAACAAATTTTGACGTTATAAAATAATCTACCCAATCAAATAAACATGACTTTATCTGAAGGATTTATAATACCTGAATTATATAGCTTTGAATAAGATTATAAAAAGTATGTAGATGATTTTATAGCATATATTTATTTAGCAGGTATGCAGAACCAGTTGCGATAAATGCTAGAGATAGTGTTCTTATTATTCTTACAAGAATTCAATCTGAGTAAAGGTTACATCGCATTAAAAAACACTTTCTATCTGCTGATAGATATTTGAGAATGCTTAAAATTAAAACATTAAAACAAGAAATACATAAAAGTATACCATTTTTCTGGGCAAAAATTCAAAAGTATGAAAATCAATTAGACTATTTTTGCGCAAAAGAAAACAAATTTTATATCTGAAATAAGATATAATATATTAAATGATATCATTATGATTGGTCATCACAAATCTATTAATGATATTCTTGATAATTTGAAAGAAATAGAATTATGTTATGGGATATTAGAGCTATTATCATTATATTCTAATTATTCATCAGCCTATCTTACCATTTCAATATCATATCTCAATAACAAGGAATTTCTTTGGCAGATATACAAAAAATATTTCAAGACGCATTAGCACAACAAAAACTAAAAACCAGACTTAATAAAGAAAGTTACAGAATTACAATCTCAAATGACTTAAAAAGCACAAATACTTATTTCTTAAACTGTTGAATCAGTTAGACAGTCAAAAGGTTCACCATCTATATTAAAGACAGAGGAAGATCTCAAAAATTATTATGTAGCTGAATACTTAAAAGAAATAGGTTTACTTAATAAGAAAGATTTAAACTCTGATTATCCTATAAAATCTTTTTAAAGACCTCGTCTATAGAGAAGCAATAACTCTATTAAATTTGATAAGATTGAAGAAGAACTTGATAAAACTCGTGATGCAGTAAACCAATTAACCAATCAATTTAAGAAACTAAATATACGTAAATGTGATATTTATAGAGAAACTGGTTATAGTAAAACAGTTATCCCAATAGACAAATAGCACAATCTAATTTTAATTAGTCTTATTTTAAATCTATCATACCTATAAATTTTCAAAATACACCTTCAGATTCTGATAATGATAAAGATAATAGTGATAGTTATGATAAAGTAGATAATGTATAGTATTATACATCAGAAAAAAAATAACTATTACTAAATGATAAATTACTTCTAGAGTCCAGTCAGTTGAAAATATATGATAAATTATTTTTAAAACTTTTATTGGCAATGTGAAAAATGTGTTAGTTTTATACAGTTCAGAAGAAAGAATCAAAATCAGATAAGTGATTTTCATTATTACAATATCTGAATGCTAAAATAGATGATTTAATTATCTCTAATTCTTTTTTAAATAATGCGAGTGAGTTTGGAAAGTGAATGATATAACAATTAATACTCTTGGATGAAAAGCTGATAAGCTATCTAACTTTACAATAAAAGGTAACTCTAAAAATATTACTGAATCATTAGGATGGTTTACAGATGTGCCAGTGAGTATAAAAGATAAAGATAGTAAGACTGTTACAGTTACTAAAAATTTTATTCGTATTAATAATGGTGAACCTGAAGCAATATTATATTTAGATATGATATAGATTCAAAAAGTTCAAGATATTCTTGACTTGAATAAAAACCAATTCTGAATGAAGTTATATAGGAAGACTTATACTATTCTGACGTATAGCAAGGCTCCAGTAGCTAAAGATCTATCAAAAGAGAAGCAGAACCAAGTATCTAATTTCTCTAATCCAACTAATGAAGACTTAAAAAAAGTGTGAAAAGCTTAAAAGACACCTCCTGAAAACTAAAAAATAGCTTGATATAGCATTAAATGCAGGTAATATTCTTACGAAAAAATACTCATAACTTATGAAAAAAAAATCAGATGTATGATATTAGAAAATTAATTATTTAAAATATAGTACTAACCTTTTTTTTTTGACTAACTTTATCTTTTCGCCTATTAGTTACTGTATTCAAATTATTAGAATTTATATGGGAATTTGGATCATTCTCATCATCTGCATGATGCTTTATATGAATAATCTTATCTTCTTATATGTTAGTAGAAAAGAAAGTATCATATGAAGATTTCTGATTATTTTCTAAAATCTGGTCAGAGACGTTAATAGATTCTATATTTCTATACAATTTC